GATGAGTGGGGAATGACTGCCTCTTGTGACTGTGCGCCTGGGTGCCTGTGGATTGCCCCTGAGCAACAGCAACGAATTGCTATGGGTGAGTGGGTAGTGACTGTCAACGAATAGCAACGAATTGCTATGGGTGAGTGGGTAGTGACTGTCAACGAATAGCAACGAATTGCTGTGGGTAGTGACTGTCAACGAATAGCAACGAATTGCTATGGGTGAGTGGGTAGTGACTGTCAACGAATAGCAACGAATTGCTATGGGTGAGTGGGTAGTGACTGCCTCTTGTGACTGTGCGCCTGGTAGCCTGTCAGCCCGCGAGTGCTTGAAGCTTGTGACCCTCTTCCCTCGTCCTCTTTCTTCCACTTCTTCCTCCTCCTCGCCCATCTCGCTCTGTTGTTGACATCTACATGATTTCCCCATGGCATGAGCTTGATTTCCCCATGGCATGAGCCTGATTTCCCCATGGCATGAGCCTGATTTCTCCATGGCATGAGCCTGATTTCCCCATTGCATGAGCCTGATTTCCCCATGGCATGAGCCTGATTTCCCCATGGCATGAGCCTGATTTCCCCATTGCATGAGCGTTATTTCCCCATGGCATGAGCATGATTTCCCCATGGCATGAGCCTGATTTCTCCATGGCATGAGCCTGATTTCCCCCTGGCATGAGCCTGATTTCCCCATGGCATGAGCCTGATTTCCCCATGGCATGAGCCTGATTTCCCCATACCATGAGCCTGATTTCCCCATGGCATTAGACTCATTTCCCCATGGCATGAGCCTGATTTCCCCATGGCATGAGCCTGATTTCCCCATGGCATGAGCCTGATTTCCACATGGCATGAGCCTGATTTCTCCATGGCATGAGCCTGATTTCCCCCTGGCATGAGCCTGATTTCCCCATGGCATGAGCCTGATTTCCCCATGGCATGAGCCTGATTTCCCCATAGCATGAGCCTGTTAGGGTTGGTTCGCCCAACCATGGAACCTAAGGCGAAAGCATCTACGAAGGCGGAATGACGGCGAAATGGAAGTGCGTGGATGATTCTAGGTGAAACGGTTGAAATCGGCCTACGGCGTGAGAAGGGAGAGAGAAATCGAGAAGGAATGTGTGAGAAGGTGGAAGAAGCATCGAGATTGAAGTTGGCGAAGGGAAATTGTGGTTCGAGCTCGAGGGGTGTTCGAGAAGGTTCCAGATTCGGTCTTGAGTGTTCACCGAATTCGGTTCGGTTGCGTGTGTGACTCGGGGTAAAACGAAGTGCACGCGGTTACTTGGGAAACAAGTGAAGTAACGAATCGCATTTTGTGTCTTGCCTGACTATAAAACTGCTTGTACTCATTCTGGAAATCACACCAATCAGATTCTGAAAATTGCTGAAGTGTGTATTGACAACTTCAAGCAGATCTGCGCATATCATTGGATTCGGGAGATCGTGGAGAACACGATAGGCGATAGCAAGTAGACTATTGCCGACTAAGGTGCTTACGATCCTAAGAGAGCGTGATTTCCCCATGGCATGAGCATGATTTCCCCATGGCATGAGCCTGATTTCCCCATGGCATGAGCCTGATTTCCCCATTGCATGAGCCTGATTTGCCCATGGCATGAGCCTGATTTCTCCATGGCATGAGCCTCATTTCCCCATGGCATGAGCCTGATTTCCCCCTGGCATGAGCCTGATTTCCCCATGGCTTGAACCTGATTTCCCCATGGCTACAGCACCGCACTGTTATGGGTGGGTTACTGATTTTACATACTTAGTGGTTCTTATTGGTAGTGGGTATTGTGAATAACAAGAAGAGCATGCTGGTCGGTCATATTCAGGTCAGTTCTGGGAATTCTCACTGTAGTGAGCAGCATCTATAGCATGTTGACCGAACCACCCATAACCTCTGCAATGCAATGCTACAAATGAGCTGCTGATTCGCTGTATCTTATGAGTCAGCTGTAAGGTCACTTTGGGTCCACTTGACGAGTCGCTTTGGGTCGACCTGAAGGCCACTTTGGTTTGACTCAAAGGTTACTTTGGGTTGATTCTAAAAACCACCTTGCTGCTTCTCTGCATCTCTGAAGACAACGCCGCTTGAGTGCTTTTCTCATTGACACTTATCTGTCTTTCCTTCCTTCATGTCTCCTTACATGTGTACAGCTGGCGGCAGTTCCAGCTGTACCGGTGCAGTAGTGTAGTGGAAGATGGACAGCTTTATCTGTCATGTCGTTTCTCCCAAGTATCGGGGCCTCCTCTTATAAGTGTCCCCTATCACTTGCATATATGAAAGGTGATCCCTCTAATTGTGTACATAATCTATGTGTTTCTATTTCAATATGTTTGGAATCCAAACATATGCTATGGTGAAGTTATCACCATCCTAGAAGTACCTCCTTTCATCTCAGGTTAAAGAAAGTTGCAGTGATTAGTTTATGAAGGGTTATAGTATGATCAGTTCTTAGCGAATTCGATTGTAAAGGGCGTGTACTACGTGTCATTGCCTCCCAATGAAGTCAACGTCAGCTGCGATACTTCCAGCGGAGATAAACTCTGCGTAAATTTCTTCGCCAGCCATTCACGCCGTAACAGAGCATCACCGAGGGCTAGTCCCGTTGGCCCCTGCCCCTTAACAACTCGGTAAGAAACGCGCGAAACAAGCTTGCGAAAAGCAAGGGCACAGCCAGACTCGGGAGAAACACGCGAAATGCGTGCGTGGCGTCGCACGGCGAACTAGGTGACTCGGCGCGATTCGCATTCCGTGCATTGCTGTCGTGATAGACTCGCTCATGTTTTCATTCCTAACCCAAGAAACACATCAGCTCATTTGCACGGGGCTTTGGCTTCACTCACCTCCCCCCCTGGCTCCCTCCACACAATCCTTTCTTCTCTTTCGCCTCGACTCACACGGTCACTGGTCCAGCGTCTAGTATTTAGTTCGCTCTAACCTGTATTTCTCAGCAGATCCCAGCTTGATTACTTTCATAGCTATCATGGTAGCCGGTTCCTTCGAAGCAAGAATTTCGTCAGCGATCTTCAGCGCCTCTGCGCAACTCTTCGTTCTTTTGTTAGTAGAATCTCAACGTCCCTTCTTTTTTCGAATACCACGTTTGTTGATTCGTTGAGTACTTACGAATAGCAGGTTTCGCTTTTTTCTCGTTTGCCTCATCAGCTGGTACCGGCGACGCGTCACTATCTCCGATGGCGGCCAGAAACGCTCCTCGCGCGTTTCTCCGAACACTCCTCGCGACTCTCCTCCTCTCCTGCCTCCTCCTCCCGCTCGCTCCGGTGCGCGCGTTCGAATTCGACTGCGCGAACGAGGTCCGCGAGAACGTCGCCGTCCTGAGCTTCTGTAACGGTGACGGCTGGCGCTACTCGTGCCTCTACGGCGGCGGTTACTCCACGGACGGCTCGGGAGAGTGCACGCTTGTTCAGGCCGGCGCGCTGACCTGCGCGGACTGCGAGGGGAACCCGCACGACCTGCCGCGTTGCTGCGATATAGACCTCTCCGGTTACGAGTTAAGCGCCGGCATACAGGCGAACACGTATGACACCGAGTGGGGAATCACTCTCTTGCAGTGCCCTGGGAATTCTGACTGTGGCGACTTTGGTTACCCGCAGTGTAACGGGGGTGGGTTCGACGGGATTACCCCGTACTGGGTCAATCAGTATTCCTATGACAGAGGATACGACTACTGCCCCGAATCAAGTGGAGCTATGCTGCGCGAGATGGAGCCCCGCGCGCACAGCAGCGGCGGAGTGCAGTTGCGCGAATTAGAGCGTCCCGTGGCAGAGATCCGCGCAGAACCGCCGCACCCGATCGCTCCCCTCGGCGACGGGGCACTGGCGGGCGGAAAAAACAAGATGAGCCGCCGCCTATGGGGAAGCGGGCGCCCCTGGTCTCCCCCCAAGATGTACAGCCGCCGCCTGTATGGGAGCGGGCGCCCTTGGTCTCCCCCCAAGATGTATAGTCGCCGCTTGTGGGGAAGCGGGCGCCCCATGTACAGCCGCCGCTTGTATGGGGGCGGGCGCCCCTGGTCTCCCCCCAAGATGTACCGCCGCCGCCTGTATGGAAGCGGGAGGCAGTGGTACCCCTAATAAGCAGATTCGACACCATCACCCGCGCAGGGTGTAACTGGCGAAGTGCGAAGGAGGTTCGACAGAGCTTGAAGTGACGCCAAGGTGGAAGATGGTAAGACATCGCAACACAAGGAGAGATACTCTTGAGGGGTTTGTGAACGTTATGTTATTGGTTTGGACGCATGGGGGCTGGTTGGAATTTTGAGATTAGGCATGCCCAGTGCAACCATGTTCACTTACTGGTAGGGCTGAAATAAGATCTTCCAGAGCGACCTGTTTGTGGACGGGTAGGAGGTTAGATTAATAGTGGTGGTTTAGCACATGGCTAGTTGAGGTGTATGGGGTTTCTGGTGGTGTCGGCTGGGTGGGAGGAGATTTTGGCAGGACCTGGGTGTAGATTGCGTGCCTTATTATTGCCGGACTTCTGTTTTGGCTGCTGTGTTTGTTTTAGCTAGTTAATTCAGAAGATGAACCTCAATCAATAGCCAGACATTCATGACTAAAGGTGGTTCCACCTACATTCCTAAACGCACCCACGCACAGACACATAACTCGACTGTCTAACAGTCTGCAAGAACAATTCTTTAATATAATCACCCCCCTCTAGCCTACGAACTGACCTTCAATCATCTTGAAATCAGGGCCAGCTTGTCTCGACTCTTGAGCTTCGAGCAAAGTAGCAGGCGCTGAAGTAACTAACCCCCTCCACCAAACAAACAATAACTTATTTTCCTCCCTCCCTGAAAACTGAAATGCAGGTCCCAGCTCCTTGGCATTGGTACCATGTTCTTTGTTTGTACAACGACCACTCCCCTCAAGTGTAGCTCGTCTGGTCTTGGGACGAGCAAAATGCGAGATGCACACACAGCCACACAGCCACACAGCCAAATGGCCATACCCGCCATGCTCCACTTCACCCTCTTACACCAAAACCCTTCAGGCATACTGCACTCCAGCCACGGGTGCTGCTGCTGCATTAGCCACCACACCTACAGCATCAGTGACAGCACCACCAGTGTCAAAGCCACTTTCTGTCCCTCCTCCCATTCTTCCTCCCAGCCCTCCCATTCCTCCTCCCATCGCCCCTCCGATTCCCCCACCAATGCCCCCTCCCATTGTTCTCCGCCCAACACCCCTCGATCGATGCAAGGGACTCCCAGCTGCTGCTACTGCCCCTGCTGGCCCTGCTGCTGTGCCGAACCCAGGAGGCGACAGCGAGGGAGGCGCGTGAATTCTTCCAGGTAGGGTTTGGTTGTTTGAAAGAAGCTGGTGACCAGACAGAAGCTGGTTGTCATAAACCTTCCACATGCCCATCACATGCCCCTCCTGCTCACCCTGCTGACCCAATTGCTGCTGTTGATGGTGCTGCTGCAGGTATGGTTGCTGCTGTTGCTGCTGCTGCTGCTGCTGCTGCTTCAGATTACTGACACCACCAGCGTTACCCCCACATCCGTCCACAATACCACCACTCAAGCCAGACCTTCCAATGCCACTACCAACGCCACCACCCATACCCCTGCCACCCACACTGCCCCTGGCAACTGCTGCAACTCCTCCTGCTAATGCTGCTGCTGGTTCTCCTCTGTCCACCGTTGGTGGGTTGGAGAGAGCACCATCGAACGCGCTGAAGGGAGGGACGTCGGAAGGGGGGGAGAATGGCTGTGCCGTGTCAACATTCACCACTCCCGGGATAATGCTTAATCCGTGCTGCTGCTGCTGCTGCTGGAAGTTCTGCTGTGTCTGCTGATTGACTGGGCTGACTGGCGGCTGACGTGGCAGGGAGGACGTGGATTGGGAATGGGGAAACGGTGCCACTGAAGCCACTTCCATCTGTTGCTGCAGCAGGTGCTGCTGCTCCTGCAGTGCTGCATTGCTGATGCTGATCACCCGAGAGGCTGACAGGCTCCTCCTCCTGCTGCTTCCCCCACTGCTGCTGCTGATGTCGTTAACACCAGCAACAGCGCTGCCGTTACCACCTTTGCCACTGCTGCTGTTTGGTTTGATTATCGATCGAAGCACAGCGTCCATTTCTTCATCTGTATCGCTCAGGACAATCGTGTCGCTCAAGCCGATGGCGTGGCTGGCTTCGCTTGGGTGCAAGCAGCTCACCTGGCCGGCATCCGCTGTCACTTGCTGAATGTCACTGGGGCATGTATAGGCGGCATGTTGGCACGTGTGGGCTGCTGCCGATAAAGGCTGCTGTGCCTGTGCCATTTGTTGCTGGAAACGTCAGGTGGGGGGGGACGGGGAGGGGAGAAAAAGGGGCCAGGGCGAGAGAAACGACGAGGGGAGAAGAGGAGAAGGTGGTTGGGGACCGAAGGGGGAGGGGGAGGGGAGGGGGGGGGGGCGGGGGGGTTGTGAACGGGAGAATGGCAAAGAATAAATAAGTGCAAGGGGAGAGAAAGAGCGAGTGAACCAACAGTGCCGCCCAGCTGGAAAAGGCTAGGTTTGAGGTGTGTCGAGGTTTGCGACAATGGGTGCAGGTCACTGGGAACGAGGTTTGCGCCTCGTTTTGAGACATCTCAAGCTTCAAGACATGTAGACTGTGACGACTCAAACTCTAAGACATATAGACTGTGACGTCTCAACCATAGAATGTGACGTCACAGATCTCAAACCCAGACATCTAAGATACAGCACGGAAAGAAAAGGCAGTGCGGATCAGGCAGCAGGAAAGAAAGAAACGAGGTTGGTGACTCGTTTTAGACGTCTCAGGCGGCGTCTCAAGTTTCAAAGTGGGACATCTCAAAAGCAGTGAGGGAAGAGGCAGTGCGGCTCACCTGGAATGCATGCTGCCTGGCTGCGGGTTGCTGGCGTGCCCAGCCGTTCTGAGTTGGTGCTGGCGCCTGCTCCCCATTCCACTGCTGCTGTGGACTCATCTGATGCTGCTGTGGGCTCATCTGATGTTGCTGCTGTGGGCTCATCTGATGTTGCTGCTGTGGGCTCATCTGATGTTGCTGCTGTGGGCTCATCTGATGTTGCTGCTGTGGGCTCATCTGATGTTGCTGCTGTGGGCTCATCTGATGTTGCTGCTGTGGGCTCATCTGATGTTGCTGCTGTGGGCTCATCCGATGTTGTTGATGCTGCTGCTGCTGCTGCTGCTGAGGGCTCATCTGATGCTGTTGCTGCTGCTGCTGTTGCAGCTGTGAGATCATTTGCTGCTGATGCTGCTGCTCCAGCTGCTCTCTCTCTCCTCCGGTCCCTTGCCTCATCCCCCCACCACCTGCCCCTCCTATTCCCTGCTGCTGCCGCCGCTGCCACAGCTTCTGCTGCGCGGATAGCCTTGCTGCTGACGCCACGGAAGGATGTGCGCTGCGCCCTGAGACAAGGCTGGTATTTAAAACCGGGGATTTCTGGAGTGTGTTGAATCCACAGGGGATAGTGGAGGACGAGGATGATGCGACTAGCGGATGCGGAACAGCAGCTGCAGGTGTTAATTCAGGTAGAATCTCAGGTTGCTGCTGTTGGTTCCCGTACTGGTGCTGGTGCTGGTCCTGCTGCTGGTGGTGGTGGTACTGTTGCTGGTGCTGCTCCTGGTGCTGGTCCTGTTGCTGGTGGTGGTGGTACTGTTGCTGGTGCTGCTCCTGGTGCTGGTGGTGCTGCTGCTGAAACTGCTGGTTCTGCTGCGGCAGCTGCTGCTGCTGGTACTGCTGCTGCTGGTGCTGCTGGGAGTAATGCTGCTGCTGCTGCTGTTGCTGCACATACTGTGGCTGCTGCATACAAGGTTCGTTCGCAATGATGCTGCTTTCATCCCCCACCCTATCAACCCCACCTCCGCCCCCGGGCACAGACTCTCTTCCCCACGCCGCATTTCCTTCCGCCACACCCCCATTTTCTGACACCTCCATCTCATCCCATCCCATCGTGTCAAACCCTTCGGGCATCGGCAAGGGAAACGCATCCAATGCACCTGCCGCGTCCATCAGCATGTGGCTCGTCTCAAAACCCTCATCCTTGCCAGTAGCAGAAGTGGCGACGGCGGTGGAAGTTCCGTGTTCAAACCCCGTTTCTTTCTCCTCCATCAGCATTTCCTCAAAGGTTCGTCCCTCTGGCAGAAACAGTGCCACTTCATTGTCCGCCTCTAAGCCCGCTCCCACCACGAATCCTTCCCCTCCCGCATATCCTCCTGCCAATCCCACTCCCTCCCCTCCGGCCCCTTGTTCACCTTCCGCCTCCCCCCCGCCCTCGTCCTGCACGCTCCCCCCGCTCCCCCCGCGCTGCAGGCTCTTAGGCATTCCTCTTGGGCCCGAGGAGGTAGTTGCACAATTGATGGTGCTGAAGCTGCCTTGGGACTGTAGCGGGGCCTTCACAGACCCGTGAGACGCCAGGCTGGAGAAGCTGCCAAATCCGCCCGCCCCACACCCGCCCCCGAAGCTGCCAAACTCACCAGCCATCAACCCCCCAGATGCCGCCGCACCTCCGCTTCCCCCTGTCTCTTCGCTTCCCCCCGTTCCTCCACTCCCCCACGTGCCAACCCTCTCGCCTGTAAACCCCCCCATGCCTCCGCCTCCCCCTGTTCGTCCGCCGAACCCTAGCTGCACGCCCGGCCCTTGCCTTCCGCCAGACCCCTGCCTTCGAAGCATCCTCCCCGAACCTGTCATTCCCGAACCTGTCATCCCCGAGCCTGCCATACCAGATGACACGTCATCGCCCGTGGATCCCACGTGGCAGCCGCTCGAGCTGTTCGTCTCCTGCATGCTCCCAGCTCCCGCGCTAAACGTCCCCCCGCTTAACGCAGCCCCGTTATAAGCACTCCCGCTAACAATCGAATGCGAAAACAGCCCGCTCCCCGCCACCCCTCCCCGCCTCATAGCGCGGAGAGACGGGGGAGGGGGGAGAGTCGGCGGAGTGTCTAACGAGTCGAGCTTCATGAGAGACGTCGTGGTGGGTAGAGGCCCCGATGTTGGTTTATATCCCGAGTAATTACCCTGCAGCCGTAACGGCCCAGATCTCGAGGTAAATACCGCTGGTGGGGGTTCTCCCCCTTCCCAGAGGTCTAAGGCCTCTGGATTTAGCGGAGCGCTTCTACCGAGGATGAATCCCCCCCCGGAATGGGGGGGCTGCGGGGCCTCGCGGAAGGACATGGGCGGAGTGGCGGAGCGGTGGGGGAGGATCATCTTGCGCACATGCCTCGGGGGGGAGGAGGACGCGGGGCGGCGGCTGTACGGGCTGCAGGTTCCGGAGCCTCCCCCATCCGCGTCATAGGCGTCTCCGCTATCGAATAACGGGCCGGATTGCGCTTTATATTTATGCTTGCGCTGTAGATCCACGGCTTCCATCATATACGGATGGTTCACGCTCAACGGCCCCGATTTCGACTTCTGCTTCTTGTTACTCGCGTTCGCGAATTTCGCACCGCCTTCTGTAACTTCGCGCAGCGCCTGCACCAGGTCCAGCCCGTGTCGCAGACCGTCGCGCACCTCCGACATGGGCGACCTGGGCGACGCCGGCGACCGTGGCGACATGGGCCGCGACCGCTGCAGCGAACTAGGGCCATGCGACGACATGGCCTCGCGTGTTTGAATCCCAGGCGTGAACGTCAGATTCGCAAGTCGTAAGCTCGCCAACGCCTGGCCAGGTGTATTCCCAGGTGTGATCCCAGGTGTAGTCCCAGGTGTACCCACCGGAGTAGCTCCAGCACCGGTGAGAGGGCCCCCTGGATTGCCTTGCACTGTCGGCCCCCCTGCTAAAAGCCCCCCTTCTTCCCCGCGGATGCGCGCGGGCGTTCCGGTAGGAGTTCCCCCGGGCATTCCCCCTCCCCCTCCCCCTCCACCTCCCACTCCGCCGGCGCTGCTGAAAGTCTCCGGGTGGACGCGGGAGAACGACTGCGCACGGACGGGGGTTCCCGCGGGAGAGGCCGAGATTCCACCGCCGCCGCCGCCCTTTTCCGCTCCCTTTTCTGCAGCCCTTTCCGCGGAGATGCGGGAGAATGCTGCGGTAAGCGCGCGGCCGAGAATGTTCCCCTTTGCGCTGGAGGGCGTTCCGCGTGCCTTAGAAGCGGGGGTGTTTCCGCCAGTGGGGGTTGCACTGCCCGGTCGCGGGTGGTACGAGAGGGAGATGCGAACTTTCGCGGAGCTGGCAAAGAGGTTACCAACTTCGTCAAAAGCTCGCAGGTAGAACTCCTGATCGCCGGCTTTACCTCTTTCCATGATGTCCCTGTTCCAATGCACGGGCAAAAAGGGGTGAAGGTATGTCAATTGTGAGTCAACACCAACGAGCCGTGGTTGAAGCAATGACAAAGACAAGCTCGTCTGCTCAAAGAATCTTTGAACCAAACCAAGCTCGACGGATGCACGAAATCAAGCAAATGATGGTCAACCTGCTTACGGATACGATGATGTAACAATGGGAGGTAACAATGATGTTAACCTTCTTTACCTTGCTAGCCTGATGAGAATTCGAAACACCTAACGCACGCATTGATGATCTGATGGCGTGATACATGAGAAATTCGCCTGAAAGAGTCCGACATCAGAGAATATGATTTGATGGAGATCTGACCTGATGGAAATCTGGATGAAACCAGCAGTTGATTGCCTGTGGTGTTGAAGCATATGATGCGCACACAAATAGTATGATAACTTTAGCACATGATAGAAGTTTGACCTGATGGGAATCTGGATGAAGCCGAGCAGCTGATCGTCCGTCGTGCCGCGGTGGTGGCTCGCCATCCATATCTCGCACTTCACTTCCGTCTCGCGCTCAGGCACGCCAACCTGAAGAGCGAAGAAGTATGTCAGTGGAGGAAAGAGACATCATGGTGACAAATGAAGGAAACAAACTACTTTGAACAATCTCAAAACGCCTGTGATTTGTCATCCATTTCTCACACTTGACATCCCCACCTGATATGGAGCGGAAGAGCGAAAGGTGGGTTAGGCAAAAGGGGGTGCATGAATCAATGATCACGGCACTAGAGGTAAAAAAACCCACCCTACCATGAACTAGAAGGACGGATTCAGTGCTATAATCATGATCAGTCTGCAGGCTCTCATCATCTAACCTGGACTGTTGATGAGTCGACTGATAAAATGGAAGAAGCGTTTAGGGAGCTGTGATGCATACCATTCCAAGACTGTCAATATTCTTCCTCTAACCTGGAGTCGTTGGTTGAATATGGGGTTGTTTCCGCCAGACTTAATGGTTTTCGTGGTCAGAGCCACTCGTCCGATGTCGTCGCGTTCGCCGCAGAGCACCCGCGCGTACACATCCTGGGGTCCGTAGTCGCATAGTTCGCGCAATCCTTCCGCCTGAATGATATGGATGTCTAGAATTCCTGCTACTTGCGATACTTTTCGCGCCATAAAGTAAAATAATAATTGATTTAGTGATAGGGATTTGCTCGAGTGGATGCTACGCTACACTCTGTCAACCTCAACCGCAAGCTAACGTTCTATCCTGGTGCGCATTCCATTAGCACCTCCACCAATGCATTAGGCAGTCGCTATGAAACGTTAGAAGCTCCTTGAGGTAGGGATTCCGCAGAAATCTTCTGCTCCGATTTCGTGAACAGCTTTGAATCCTGATTGTGAGGACTTGGGAATTGAGTGATGGTGGCTCATTCAGTTGATCCCAAGAAGTTCCTGAAACGTTGTTTCCACCAGATGGTAGTTTGGAGGGGGGAATGCCGTTTCCTTGTAGGATTGCTTGCTAGCTGTTCATTTGCGTGGCGCGTACTGCTGCTGAACAATGAAGAAGAAGGAGCATTCTCTTCCAGCCAGCTGAAGGAGACCCTGGTAGTTTGATATGAAGCCAAGTAACCTCATTTTCAACTACTGAGTAAGCAAATTGTGCGCTTTTTAGGAGGTATGTTGTGTAAAATCTTGTGATGCTTAAGGGCTTCGTATAGCCACTGATTTACCGGGAGTCTCTGGGTTGCAAACTTCTCTCCACCCTCCTATCCTCACTCCCATCTAAAAGCCTTTGCACACAATATCAGAACTCAATTACGCCTAAAAGACGGGAATTCCTCAAAACGCTGCGCTGCTTAGAATTAGGGAATGTGCATCACTTGTGGAGGAGATCCGCAAGGACTGTCCGGTTCGGTGAGGATTATTATTTTCGGGGGCATCTCTGTTTGATTGATGGGTGTACTTTTCGCGGAGCGCGAGGGGACGAAAAAATACGGGGGAATGGCGCTTTGCGCATCGAAGGATTTGCCAATGTGGTTACCGCAGTTGCGCAGGTGTTTCCCAATGTTGAGGTTGATGGGAAATTTTGTGACCGTTTGGTTTGGCGGGAGTTTTTGACTTCGCCATCGCTGAAGAATTTCCCGTTTGCTGGTTTGGCGTGGACAGTGGCTGGGGGCCTGGGGCCCCAACCAGGTGCGACGGCTTCGATCAGTTGGTGAGGCTGGGGGTGTGCTTGCACGAAAACAAGACGGCCGCCAAAGGCCACACCCAACGCCGATGTCGATCTGACAAACCGCAGACGCGTTGTAGAAGATGAGAACAGCAAACTTGAGAACATCATGGAAAACCATCTAAAATTAGCTTGATTAAGATATAGATAGCTCAACTATCTTCACTTCAATGTGGCAATTTACTCATTGATTTGTACATGTTTCGTTATACTGAAAAGATAGCATATCAATATATCAATATATCTTCAAGCTCACCATCATAGTGTTCTAACATGTACGCTATAGAAGTGTAGTGCTATTGGCTAAAAACTGTAAGAAAAAACCCTTTTCCTTACAGGGGTTTACTCAACAACGCACAACCCCAACTTTCGGAAGTGCACGTTTGGCCACTTTGCTTGCTGCCGAAGCAACCTCGCGTCGCCTTCGACCTTTCCTTTGCCCAACCTGCACCCAACCTCGTGTTCCGAGGTTCCCGCCTAGCTAGGTTGACCCACTATATTAGCGCGTGCCTTCATTGTATTGTCAGTTCATTGAGTCACATCTTCGTTATTCATTATTCCGCGCACTCTCCCTTACAACTCATAACACCTGGTATCAGAGCTACTTTCCTATTTCACCCCGCTTTTCGAGGGTAGTTTGGTGGCATAGGTGTGGCCGATATAGTGGACTACACGACGGTTGGCTGCAAGATTTGTTAATTCAATCCTGCCCGACTCCGATAGTTCGTGTTTTTCACTCACCGGAAGGCCACGGATACCCCACTGCCCACCAGACGAACATGCGACTCATGGACCAGGAGACATTGAACAAGATGCTAGCGCAAATGGCAGAGCTACAGGCAACAGTGCAGACACTATCAGCAGAAGTGACAACACTGCGAGGAGAAAACGCCGAGCTACGCCAGACGCGAGGTGAAGCGCGTCAGGGGTCGCCCGATGAAGAAGGCGAGGGCAACAGTCAAGCAGTGAGCAACCCGTTGGACGCGCTCACACGTGATTTCGAAGAAGAGGATAGGCAGCGAGCGGTAGTGATGCCAATTGCAGTAGCGACGATCAAGATTAAACCTGTCAACCCGCTCCCGTTCAACCCTACGGACAAGACTACTACAGTTACAGGGGTGGCTTTTCGGCGTTGAAGTCTTCTACATTGCAGCAGGTGTGAACGACGATGCCACGCGTATTAATTACGAAGTTTCGCTTCTTCGAGGCGCAGCGCTTGAGAGGTGGCGCCGAACCTTGGACACGAGGACCCCGACAGATGTGACACATGCGGAAGACGGGACTTCAATGTCGGTTTATCAAGTGGCAGCACCGATATTCGGGGTGACCAAGATACGCACGTGGAAGGAGTGGGGCGCAGCCTTACAAGATCGCTTTGAGCACATATCCGGCTCGAAGCAAGCTCGCATGAAGCTGCGTACCTGGTCGCAGTTGGCATCTGTCCAAGACTACACACCAACGTTCATGGCCCTCGCCGACCAAGTGGACGACACGTCGGAAGCGGAGCGGCTAGACAAGTACGCCATGATAAGAAACGAGGAATGAATGCATTGAGCAGAATGAGGAGTACAAGTAGTAAACCCTAAAGTGTTGTACCCCATCTGAACTGCCCCACTACAGCCTACACAAACTATAGCATATATGCCTGACACACCCCCATAGGCAAAGTGGGGGAGAACAAGGGGTCACAAGACCAGTCAAGCAAAGCAAAGCAAGCTCAGGGTGGATCACAACGTCACCACACAGTCCGAGCACAAGAGCAAGGCCACAAGGCCAGTTCACATGCAAGATCATATATATAAAGGTAAACAAGCAAGTGCAGGTATAGAAAGAGTACAGTACAAACAAGATCAAGAAGTGAGCAAGTGAGGCCAAGTAGGCACAAGACCTAGCATAGCACAGAAGCGCTGATGATCACAAGGCGGAAGGGCCTTGGTGAAGATATCAGCAGTGTTGGCCTCACAAGCCACGTAGGTGAGGCGGAGCTGACCACGCTGCTGCAGCTCACGAGCCAGGAAGTAGCGAAGAGCAATGTGCTTCGTTCTGTGCTCCAGTCTGTGCTCCCGACACAAGGCCAGCATGGCCTTGTTGTCTACGTACAGAACTGGAGGAGAACGATGCGGCTCTCCTGGGTCAGTCAGCAGGTAGGTGAGCCAGCGTAGCTCCTGTGCAGCCATGGCCCCCGCGTAGATCTCAGCCTCACAGCTGGAGGTGAGAACAGAAGACGAGCGGGTAGACCGCCACGAAACAGAGCCGGAGCCAAGGCTGAAGGTGTAACCCTGTGACGAGCGCTGTGTCAGCTGGTCGTCAGCCCAAGAAGCGTCTGCGTGACCTGTGAGGACCACTCAACGTCGCCCTCCAAGCACTAGCCCCATGCCCGACGTACTGCACACGTAGCGCAACACCCTCTTCGCTGCAGCCATGTGCTCTGGTCGGTGTCTCCCAGGAGCAACATAGCGTGCCAAGATGCTAAGAGGGTATGCAAGGTCAGGTCGTGTGCAGGTCATCAGGTACATGAGGCAGCCAACAAGCTCTGGGTACGGGCCACTCGGCTCTACGGACTCATCCCAAGGCAGAGCTGAGAGCGAGTGGCGAGTAGGCAGAGGAGTGGCCTGAGGCGAGGAGTACGTGAAGCCGAAGCGCTGAAGGACCTGCTGCACCATGTGTGACCGAGTCAGGGTAATGGTGCGCTGTGCTCTGTCCCGGGTGATCTGCAAGCCAAGGTAGTTGCGCAGTTCACCCAGGTCTGTGCACGTGTGTCTCTTCTGCAGCTCGGACTTCACGTGGGCGAGTCCAGCAGTGTCAGCAGTGGCAAAGACCAAGTCGTCGACGTACACGAGGATGTAGAACGGCGGCAAAGAGGTGTCGGTGCGTAGAAACAGCGACGGGTCGGCTGTAGAAGGAGCAAACCCAAGAGTCGCAAGTGTGGTCCTCAGTGTGTCGTGCCACTCACGGGGCGCCTGGCGGAGACCGTAGACTGGCCGCCTGAGGCTCCACTGGGTACCAGGAGGAAACGACCCAGTGAAGCCAGGTGGGCGGCGCAGCCAGATCTCCACGTG